TTCCATTGTATTTAGAATCTTGCTGAAGAGCAAAACCATCTATCTGATAGGCATTATGAGGGTCAGACTTTCTTTTCCCAGCCTTCTTTGCAGAGGGGGCTCAAAGTAGGGGACCTTGTCTCTGTCAGTCAGGGAAAGTGACCAGGATGGAAGGGCAGTGGTGGTCACAGGGGTGGCAGCATCCACATACAGCTCCTAAGGCAAGGGTGTTTGGTGACAGAGATGGGGTTTCTCCATCAGGCTGGTTCAGTGGTGCTATGGTTTGACTCACTGTTCCTAAAAAATCAGCTTTGAACCCAAACCCTATTTTTGAGCCTGATTTTGTTTGGGAGAAATGGCCATGCTTTCTTTTCTCATGAGTTTGTCTTGTCTGGAAATTTTCTTGAGTTGTGTTTATGGTTTATTCAGTTTGCCATTGTATGATGACATCTGGCAGAGACAGGATAGCCAGGCCATAGAGGGACCGATGCCTTGATGCTTCAGTCTCTGGTTTTGGAAGCTCAGGCTTGGAAGCTGAGAACTTGCAGGAGATGCTTTCCAGGACCATAGTTACCTGATTTCTTCTTAGCACAGAATCCCTTTTCCCCAGTTTAGACAAAACTGGTTTCTGTTATTTGCTACCCAGAACTGTGTTGCAAAGAGCATACCCTAACCCTAAAGCTCCTAATGGTTCTTGTGTATTGGGATTTCTCCTCTATAGCTTGTTTTCCTTGAGGACAGTTTGCAGCTGCTACATGTGCAAAGTGAGGGAAAGTCATTGAGTTTCTGAATGGATTTTTAAGAAACACATAGCAGTGATACTTTGAAAAGCGAAGGCTTTGGCTTCTTCAATAAATAAACTGAAGGGGATGGGAACAGGGGACAAACCAGCCTCTCAGAGAAGCCCAGGCATTCCACGGAGCTGGAGTACAAGCAGCCGGACCATGGAGGGACCCTCAGCAGCTGGCTCCAGCACCCCAGGCTGCCCCAGCCATTGTCGCTGTCTCGAGGAGGGAGCACAGAAGTGCCTGAGCCCAGCCTGTGGAGCCACAGTGCTGGGAGAAGGAGGAACAGAAGCCCCGCTTGGACTCGGCTATCTGAGAGGCCACAGCTGAGGGGGCAGTAGAGTAGGTACCAGTGTTCGGGGCCGATGAGCACCGAAGACCCTGGTCACAGCCAGACCATGCCTTCTGGTCTGCAGTGCATTACACTAACACCTGGTAAGACGGACAGAAAGAGGTGGCAAAACCCCATAGCCAGCACGATTATTACCCAAAGGATACTTGGAACAAATCTCATCGTGACCCAATGCCAGTGAGGGCTTGGGAACCTAGTTAGGTTCAACTGGAAAATTCAACAAACTGCTTGCCGGAGGAGTCTTTACTATTTATGCCTTCCTCACTTCCCGGGGTTACCCCTGCTTTGATAAGTGCTGGGTTCTGGAAGGGGTGGAGACTGTAAATGAAAACCACCTATGTTCCAACACAGCTTTCTCTTTAAGAATTCCAGGCTTAGGGTGGGGAGCATAACTCAGGATACAACACTGAATTCAACCCTCATCACCACACGCACACACACACACAATTTAGGCTTTTGAACTTGTGGTTACATCTCTGAACTTATTGGAAAGAACCATACATCTGCAAACTGGCCTTGACTTGTGATGCCTACCAGCAGGTCATACAGAAAAGCCCTTTTTTTGGAAGGGGAGGCGAGAATTTTTTTACTTTCTTGAGAAGAAAATTGCTGCAGTGAATGAAAAGCAGTAAAACAAAGCCAAAAGAATCGATACGTTTCCATCCGCCTTGATGCTTCGGTCTCGGGTTTTGGAAGCTCAGGCTTGGAAGCTGAGAACTTGCAGGAGATGCTTTCCAGAAAGACCAGCATTCAGGGGTCATTGGGTCTAGCTGTGGAGCCCCAGTCCCTTTGCAGCGGGGCCCCTACTCTGTGTCTTTCATGTTGTTCTGAGCAAGTGTGACTGAGCACACTGACCTCACCCTTCCGCTTGCTTTGGTGAAGTCTTTCCTTGGGTTTCACAGTACTCGGGGTGATGGCTGCGTCCCCTCACGTACACTTGTCACTTGGTGTCATCTGCCTTCGAGGATAAACGTCTTATCTACTGTGAACTTCAGGCTGGGGTTTTGGTGTAGGCTATGGGCACTCTCAATATGCTCTGGAAGCCTCACTCTATGCTGTCACATGGCCCCATCCTTTGCAGTGGACAATTTGATGTCTTCAAAAATGTGACACGTACTTTCACACCCCTGAGCCGTTAGCCACACTATCTACCTAACCTAGGAGGCCTCCCTGCCCCTGCCTGTTCCTGTAAGAGTTGGGTCATCAATGGAGGCTTACACTCAGATTGCAGAGGAGAGGCTGAGAGGCCAGGGGACATGGTGCAGGGTCAGAGGCCCTGCACATAGTCATGACAGTGCAACATGTGGGGCTGTGAAAATGAAGCCAAAGCTGACTTGGAGACCCAAGAAGGAAGAGGTGCCAGCCACACGCAGCGCCTGCTGAGGGCAGCTACAGGAAGTGTGCAAAACCTGCCTGAGAAAGCTCAAGTAGCTTACAGGTCTTCTGAAGCCCTTGGGAGCCCACCTCTTGCCACAGCGTGCCTCAGATGCTGGGCATGGAGCTATTGGATTCACGGTTTCTCCTTATCTTTGGTACAACCTCTCCCTGTTGTGTTTGTGTACCTTCCCTTTGGAATAAGAACGTTTGCCTGTGCCTGTCCCACCATTGTGCTTCGGGTCTGTGCAATCTGGATTTTGATTCTTACAGAGTGGAATTCGCCTTGAGGAGGTTTTGTGCATTGCTGGAGCAGTTAGATGTGGGGGACTCTTGGAGACAGACTCAGTGAATTTTGCATTTAGATGGATGTGAAACTTCAGGGGCCAGGGATGGAATGCGATAGTTTGTATCTGGGTGAGCTATGTGTCAAGGACTTGGTCCTCAGTGTGAAGCTCTCGGAAGACGCTGGAATCAGTAAGAGATGGCACTCAGTGGGATATTGTGACCTTGAAGGGGACAGAGGAAACCAAGCCACTTGTATCCTCTTCGTTCCCTGGCCATGAGGTAAATGGCTGTTCACTCCTGCCATGCCATCTTGTCTCACCGAGGCCCAAAGCCAATGGATCCAGCCAATCCTGGATGGAAGCCTCCAGCACTCTGAGGCAAAATAAAACTGTTCTCTTTATGAGTTGATTACCTCAGGTACTTGTGACAGTGACAGAAAGCTGACTAATATCCTACCCACTCTGATTCCCTGCCTGCCCCAGGGAAATGTTCTGGTCCTTCCTGCTGATAAGCTGGAGAAACCAGGGCACTGAAAGTATTCCTAGTGAGATCCGAGAAAGCGTTGTGAGTGAAGATCGATCAGTTTATCTGAAATGAGACTGAGAGACAACACAAAGCCTGGGAACGGATCAAATATGTGACCATGATGGATCAGCAACTTCCTGGACCTCTGCTTTCCTCACTGGTGCACTGATATTAGATGGTTGAGTCCTGTCCACCATGGTAGCCTGTTGCTGTGATTCTGGGCATGTTTCCAAATCAGCACTAGTGTGATTTTCTTTGGACAAGAGGCCTCAGTTGTTGCTACATAGACTTCTCCATAGGGTTGCCATCTTGAACTCTGGCTGTCTAACTTTGGTTAGGTTAAGCTGCTTGGTGATTTCTTAGGAGTGTCTGCTCTTGGGTTCTGTACCGTGTTCTTTGTTGCTCAGGAATGGAGGGTACTATGGGGCTGAATATAAGAGAGAACCCTTGACGGGGTAGACCATTGACGATACAGGGTTCACAGAAGACATGAGCCAAGAAAAGGATTAGAGAGCCTAAAGCTTTGGGTATCAAATGCAAGAGAGCCCAGTAGGAGCCAAAGCTGGAACCAAATGCAAGAATATATGATTTTTTTTTCAAAGAGAAAAATAAGTACTTTCTAGTTGGTACTGAATTGTGTTCAGATGAATGCTTCAAATTACATGAGTGTCCTTTCTTTGTTCACTCCTCCTTATTTGTGATTTCCCCCACTTAGCTATGGTATCCATGACCTCAGGAGGAATATCTGGAATGAAGGAGAAAGGGCAGCTGGATCAAGGAGATTGCTCAACTGCTGACTCCAGTCCAGCCTGGGAACAGTGGGACTAAAATTCAGACTTTCAAATGCAAGATCCAAGCCCTTGAAAGAAGGGCCTCTGAAATTCAAATAGACTTCCTCAAAATACAAAAATCATGGAGGATGAGCAAGGAAGGATGCACAGTACAACACAACCAAATACGAGTCCCTTATCCCACAAGAAGGGAGCAGCCCTTGCTGGGCTGGGATATGGAGGGAGGCAGAGAGAGGGGGGGGACATTTTCAGTGAAGGAGACCATGGAATTAAGATGTAATATTAAGAATGCCAAAAGAGATGATGGAAATTTCAGGAGGTCCAAGGGAGGATCCAAAACTTATCTTCATTTTCTGTTTAGAATTCCAAGCAGAGTCTTCCTTGCAGTTACGTAGGTGGAGTGATTTCAGTAAAGGAGAAATGGTGATGTGGCACAGTTAGACAGAGAGGGAACATCACATAGTATAAACCGGTTCCTTTGAGAGTGGGTGGTGCTTGGGTGAGATCTAGAACTTTCCGTGTGAGCTACAGAGCAGTGGTGTAAGAGGACTGGTGAGAAGAAGAGGTGATGCCTCATCAGAGGCGAGATTCCACACTGCAGGCAAGAAGAGGCGCATGGTTGCCAGGCAAAGATGCCCTCCAGACACCAGTAGGCGACTCCAGCTTCCTCCGGCACAGTCTGACTTGAAGCTAGCGGGCAGGTAGTAGCTAGGCATGTCTGCTTCACTGCACTTCAGAATCTAAACTTTCTGACCACTCTGTTGCGGGGAGAGGAGGACTTGTGGGAGAACAGAACTCTGAGAGTGACTTTCAGTACTTTGATCAACTAAATTAAATCCTCAATTTCCTAAGTAATTATATGAGGCAAGTAAGTTTTTAAATGAGAGAGAATTTACCTCAAAACAGTTGAATTAATTGTTTTTATTTGTTCATTTGTTTTGTTTTCTGTTTTCACAGGAAATAGAAGCTCACGAGTTTGATTAAATAGAACTTAGCATTTCAGCTATGTGGATCATAGACTATGTTAAACCCGTCCACTAAAGGGATATGATACAGGGTAGGGTAGGAGGGTAAAAGGGGACAGGAGTGTCATTTTTCTTTTCAACACTTATCCTTTGAGGGTCTTGAATTTGTAAAGGATGCCCACAAATCAACAACAACACAAAGGTGAACTGCATAATTTGCTAAATAAGCAAAGGAATACAACAGGCATTTCACAGAGACTATACACAAATGTTCAATGCACACAGGAAAAGGTTCTTAATATCTGTAGATCAGGAACATTCAAGTTAAAGTTACACTAAATGCTGTTTCCCATTTCTTAAGGGGGTAAAATACAATGGAATGGAAGCTGGCGAGTATGTACAGCAACGGTGACTGGTGAATAGGGGACATGGGATGTGGACTAAGACTTGTTGGCAATATCTTTTTCTTCTCTAGCAAAATCTTACAGTGGTAACCGTGCATCTACCCCATGACCCAGCAAATTCTTAGCCACCAACCCCAAAGAGATGAAAACATATGACTACATGGGGACTTGTTATAAGAATATTTGTAGTAGTCTTACTCATAAAACACTGGAAGCAACCCAAATGTTTATTAATAGAATCAAAAAGCAAAATGTGTGGTGTTGATTCAGTGGAATATTACTCAGCAGTACAAAGAACCATCCACCACATTTATAATGTGGCTGAACCTCAAAAACAAACACATTCAGGGAAACATTATGTCAAACACAGAAAAGTATGTACTGTGTGATGCCATGTCTGTGAATTTCTAGGACAAGCAAAGTTGATCTATACTAATACAAGTCAAAAAGTAGTCAGGGGCAGGAAGTACTTCCTGGGGCGAGGAATGGGTTCTGTATTTTCTTTTTAGTGCTTGTTACATAAGCACCTACAACTGTCAAACCTCATCAAACTGACCCTGGAGAAGCTACAGACATTGTAAACTATGCCTTATTAAAAACTATTAAACAAAAAGAACTTTGGCTTAAATTCTTATAGTAGGTCACCCTGGAAAACAGAATTTACACATTAGCCCTAGAAGGCACTGTCCTCTGCCCAAGTGTATACACACTCTTGCACACATTGCACACTTGGGAAGTGTGCATGTGCATGCCCTCTTGCGCACCCTCTTGCCATGTCCCCTGGCACATGCAGCGCGCAGGGGCAGCCTTTGCCTCCCGCCTCCGCAATCCGTCCCTCTGCCCGCCTTGCCTACACCCGGTCCTCCCACCAGTGCTGTCTGACTGTGCTGGCGTCATCTCCGGCTCTGAGCCTCAGCACACTCTAAATCATAGTTGGTGTTTTGTTTTGTTTCAGTGAAATATGGATGCTTTTGAAACCACTTTGCCCTCCAAAGGCCTCCTGCTTCCTTGTTAACTCCGGGCTCAGCTGCTTCATAAATAATGCAGCCCCCTCTCTCAGCTCGATTACAAATGTCAAATGTTTCTCTCTCTGTTTCTCTCTGTGTGTCTGTGTGTCTGTGTCTCTCTCTGTGTCTCTGTCTGCCTCTGTCTGTTTCGGTCTCTGTTTCTCTCTCCCTCTGTGTCTCTGTGTCTGTCTCTGTTTTCTCTCTGTCTCTGTTTCTCTGTGTCTCTCTCTGTCTCTCTGTCTCTCTCTGTCTCTCTGTCTCTCTCTGTCTCTCTCCACCCTTTCTCTAGCAGGATCCTTGTTTCTCAAGTCTGGCTAGCAGCCATCCTTGCCTTGCCACTGGGCTGAAGGGGTCACCTCGACCTCTCAGAAGTTTTGTCTTGTGGCTCAGGCACCTGGTAAAACTGTGCTCATTCCTGCCTGCATTTCTTATGCCAAAGCCAGTGTGGCTGATCAGTTCTCCCCCTGCAGGTGTGGGAGGTCTCTTTGTGTATACTGTTCCCCAAGGAGTAGTTCTCTCTGCAGGATCCAGGCACAAACCACATCACTGGACTAAAGAGACAAATGCAACTAATATCACTGTCCAAGTCTCAGTGGCTGTGAGCCCCTGCCAGTTTTTCTATAGGAATTCTGAGAGTTGTGTTCTCCAAATATTTACCAAGCCAACACCAGTCAGACCCAGCGATTGCATCCTGCTTAGCAGAGCTGAAAGTCCACAAACCCAGTCCCTGGCCCCACTGCAGCTCTGTCCCTGGTGCCAACTCTGCTGATGGCCTTGGTGAGGCTGGGCCTGCCTGGGTCTGAAGGTCAGGCCCTTTCTCCCCGTCCCACAGATGCAGCCCTCACAGCAGTTTGCTGGTGGAAGACAAGGGGTTCCTGGGGAAAAAGGGGGTGCATTGTTTTCACTGGAAGATATAGGTCACCTGTGGGATAAGGCACATGGGGGCTGGCACTGTTGTGTCCCCAAGTCCCACATTGAGCCCAGGTGGTTATGACTGGTCTGGGGAAGCTAATTCTCCATCTCTGCAGGGGCTCCTTCCCAAGACTCCCAAGGATACCAAAGTCCACAGATGCATATGACCTATGCACATACTGCTGATGCTTTACAACGCCTAACAAAATGTAAAACGTTATGAGGTAGAGGTTATGCTGTCTTCTTTAAGGAATGATGACAAGATAAAAGTCTTTACATGTTCAGTACTGACACCTTTTTTTCCCCTGAATATTTTCAGCCCACAGTGGACTGAATCCTTGGATGCAGAACAGAGGGCCAACTGTAATCTGATGTAGCAAACATGTCATTAAAATCTGCCCTGTCTTTTTGTAGTCCCCAAAGTCAAATTTACTAAATAACACATTTCTCTGTTTCTTGCACCTTGGGTACAGGCTAGGGCTGGGGAGGAGGGGGGATCCAGCTCATGCTCTCTGAGTTAGCGGGGAGCAAAGCCTCAGCTCCCGGCACTTGGGAGGCATGTGACAGTCTGGTGACAATGGCAAGAGCCTGCAGGCTCGAGGATGAGCTGGCCCACTGCAGGAGAAGGGCACTCCAGCAAACCACACAAGCAGAGCGAAGGCATGGTGACCTCAGTGGGCAGAGAGTCCCTTGGTGGTCGGATGCTGTGGTCCAGCATAGAACGAAAGGGAGTCTGTGGTTGAGGCCTTCCAAACCACCCTGCTCTGTCTCTTCTGTCTGTTTGCCCCATTCTCCAGATTTGTCTTTAGGATCAAAGCTTGTGTCTGACTTTCTGAATACTGCTTGGAATGTGGCCTAGCTCAGCCTTAGCCCCTCGGTGGTTTTCTGGGCAAGCCTGACCTCCCCAGGCACTGGCAGCTTCCTCTCGGCTCCGCAGCATCTAATGTCACAGGACAGTCCTTGCTGAGATGGCTAGAAAAGCAAGCAGAGTTACAGAGAGAGGTCAGAAAGTCATACAGGGACATTACCCTCTTCCCTGAAGATGGCAGAGAGACACCCATGGTTGCTGACTGGGAACCGTGCTAGGTCTGAGTGTCCCAAAGACGCCGCGGGGCCGTGACTATGGCGTATCAGGGCTGAACAGGCAGGACCAAGGCTGCCTTCCGGTCCCGGCTGAGATGCACTGTCATGGCAGCCTGCTGGCTCTCAGCCTCTTCCAGCCTCTACCTTCTCCTCCCCTTCCTGGTTTCACTGTTGCTTTTTTCATGTCTGTCTCGCTGTGTAGTCTCTCAAAATCCCTCCAGAGCCACCTCAGTGGCACCCTCCTCCTGGCTTTACATTTCCGTTCTGCTTTCTTTGGGACCTTTTCTCTGAGTCTTCTTTTGATAGCTACATACATTGGAAGTGAAATCTGGATGCATCGAGTCTGCCTCTTCCTGGTCTCTCTTGGCATGGTTATCTGTTTTGATCGCTCTCTTCCTGGGTCCCCTTGGCAGATGGACCGCCCCACATCCTGACTTCACTAGTTCTGAAACAGTTAGTGTCAGGTTAAAATTTAGTGCTAGCGTTGTGATGGCCATTGCCCTCCATCCTAGCCTTGTGTTATAGACTGAATATTTATGCCCTCTCCTTTTCACATGTTGAGATCCTAACTTCCAAGGCAATGGTATCGAGAGGTAGAGACCTGGGAGGTAATTAGCTCATGGGAACAAAACCTTCATGAATAAGATTAGTGCCTTTATTAAGGAGAACCCAAGTGGTCTCACCCTCTTTCCACTCTGTGAGGACACAGTCACAAGGTTACAATCTATAATCCAGACGAGGGCCCTCACCAGAATCTCGCCATGCTGTCACTGTGATTCTGAACTCTGACCTTTAGAACTGTGAGAAATAAATATCTGTTTTAAGACCCCCATTCTGTGACGCTTTGTTATTGCAGCCCTAACTAAGACAGTTTATCCCTAGCTGAGGTGGTACATTGGACTCTCCCTGTCTTACTGCAGCTCTTCTGCTGTAGAGCAGAACTTGGGTGAGAAGGGGGTGCTGTTCACTGAACTCTCTGAAGGACCCTGCCATGAAGGTTTTCTGCTTTCCTGGAGAAACCAGCACTCATTTCCTGACTTGCCTACCTGGTTATTCCATGGGTGTGCTTTCTTGTCGAGGTTCTGAAAGGGAAGGGAAAGGCCTTTGACTTCCCAAGAGGAGCTCGAGATAGCATCGTGCAGTGTTGTTGCAGCAAACAGAGAAAAAACAAAATTCATTAGGAAAGTTATATTTGAAAAGATCTCAGAGAGCTGTGGATGCAATTATATGTAGAAAAACCATAATATGAGACAAGGTGGATCTCATCCAAGGGCTAAGGGGACAGAGACCTGCTAGGCATTCAGGGAGAGCCCCACCAGGAAGGAGTCCTGCACCTGACCAGCTCTGCTCCTCAAGTAATGAGGTACTCCACCCTCACCCCAGTACCTGGGCAGAAGAAATGGTGAAACTTCTGTAGAGTTCTTTTATACACAACGTCCAGCACACCCTGAAAGATTGTTGAGACACGAGAAGAGGCAGGAAATGTGACCAAGAAAAATTTTTAAATAGACTATAAAATGATCAAAGACATTAGAGTTATCATTTAAGAACTTTAACTATGAAAAATAAATTAAATTGAAAACTTTCAAGCAAAACACATCATGAATGGGTACAAATTCTCTATGGTGAATATGGTTATTACGCATATCTAATTTGTACCAATGAACTTAATTTAAAAAAGAAAATTTTCACTTCTAAAATTAAAAACTCTAAAGTCAAAATCTCTCACATAAGCCAGACATGATGGCTCATGCCTGTAATCCCAGCACTTGGGAGACTGAGGTCAGGCTGTGAGAATTCAAGACCAGCCTGGGCTACAAAGCGAGCTCAAGATCAACCTGTAAGCATAGCGAGAGCCGGTCTCAAAAAGACAAGAAAACAAACAAATAAAATACTCCCATATGGATTTAATGGCAACTGGATAGAGCAGAAGATTGGGTGAACAAACTAAAAAATTCAATAGGAAATTTTCAAACACAAAAGGGAAAAGAAAGAACAAAACAGAATGTGAAAGATACATGGGAACCATCAGATGCTTACATAATGGAAACCCAAAAATAAAGAATGGCCAGAAGCAGGTTTTTGTTTGTCTGTTTGTTTGAGGTGCAGAGATCAAACCCAGGACCCTGTGTGTGCCAGGAATGCTCTCTACCTATGAGTGTGGTCCTCACTCACCATCTCTAGAAACAATATTCAAAGACAGTCACTGAAAAATTTCCAAAACCATCAAAAACCACGAAATTACTCACTTTAAAAACACAGCAAACCCCAACCAGGATAAATACAAAGAAAACCAAACTTGGGCCTATCATAGTCAAACTGCCAAAAACATAAAGACAAGACCAAAATCTTATAACCACTTATTAGAAAGAAACACATTACCTGCAAAACGACAGGGGGAAGACAGAAAACAGATGTGTTCACAGAAATTACATCTGGGTCAGGATGATGATCCCTCAAAGATGTCCAGGCTCTAACCCCCAGAACCTGTGACCACGCTACTGTATGTGACAAAAGGGACGTTATGGGTGTGATTGAGATCATTAGGCACGGAGACTGCTCTGGAATGTCCAAGGGCTCCATTTGAGAGGGAGGAAGAAGAGTCAGGCAGAAAAGGAGGCCTGATGGTGGAGGCAAATGTCAGGGGATGCCCTTGCTCGGAAGGAGCCCTGCCACAGCCTCAGGCGGCCCCTAGCAACCGAGCAGGGAGGAAATTCTCCCCGAGCCTCCAGTGGGAATAGAGTTCTGCTGACACCTGGCGCTTCGCCCGGTGAGACCCATCTCAGAATTGTGACCTCTAGAACTGTATGAGAATAAATTTATATTTTAATCCATTTGTGGTAATTTGTTAAAGCAGTAAAAGGAACCCAAAACACTGCAGACAAGCTAGCAAGCTGGGAAATGTCACCTTTCAGAGCTGAATAGGATAAAGAGCGAGGCGCCATCCCTGCGTGATGGAATAGTTCACGCCCACCTTGGTCACAGACTCCTTTCCTCTCCATGCACTATTAAGTTTAGGGATGCCATCAGCTCACCACAAGGATGCAAATGTGGATACTTCAAACCAAGGGCCTCCTCCTGCTGATCTCAGAGACAGATGAAACTCAAATTTATTGACAAAGCATCATTGTTGATACCAGTGATACCTTGGCTTATAAACTTAATTCTTACCACAATTCAGTGGTTAGGTTCCAGGTTGGCCTTATGGCGAGATTTGATTCAGTTCTCGGCCAATTCGGTTTGTGACCAGAACAGTGGGAAGAATTACCATAAGTTTGTGAACTGCAGTGCCACTGGAGATAAATCTAAAACTGATTAACATGGTTTTTTTTTCACACTTCCTTGACAGTGATCTCCTACTTTAGCATAGGGAAGATTAAGATTATTGTAGTTGGATTAAAAAGAGAAAATGATAAAATCTGTTTCTTGAAATCCAGCATAAGCTACGGAAACCCATTTCAGGAACAAGTTTTTGTGTTGTGTCAAGGACTTCAGAGAGAAAGCCGTCTGAATTCTAAAGGCATTCCTTTCCTATCAAGAGCCAAGCAAGGAAATTTTATATGGAGTTTTGTTTCATCGTGGTAAAATGCCTAACATGAAGTTTACCATTTTCACCAATTTTTTAAGCATAGAACTCAGTGACATTAAGTAGATTACATTGTTTTGCAACCAACAACACCATCTGTCTCCAGAGCGTTTTCGTTTTTGCAAACCAAATCTCTGAACCTATTAAAAACTGCCCCTCCCATCACCTTTCATTTTCTGTCTCTGAATTTAAGGGATCTAGGAAACTCAAGAGTAGCGAGTTTCACTTTTCAGCTGTAAAATGGGAACAGAGCAGGGTGTAACAGAGGGCAAGGGCCTGCCGCTCTGGAATGTGAGACATTGCATTTTCTGGACTGGAGGAAGAAGCTAAGGAGAGACTCCGAGTAGAAGGTTTAAGGTTCAGATGTACCCCTGTCCCTGAAGAAGACATTGGTAGTAGCTCAGGGAATAACAGAGTGCAAGGTTGCTTGCTTTGTATCCTGCCAACCAAAGGCGGCCTGTGTGACAGCCAAAGGAGCTGGCCTCTTGCACAAGGAGGTACCTGAGTGTCACGTGCTCCCCTGTCCCCCTGGAAGAACTAAACATTCCTCCAAAGTATCCAAATTCCCCCAAATGGACAAATTTGTAACTTCGTTGTGATCCCAGCCTCCTGGATTTACAAGGTTTCTCTTTTCCACAACGCGGAGTAGAAACAAGACTCCTCAACAGACTGAGTTCAGTGGTACAAACTAAACAAGGTTGCATTTCTGTGCATCTGAGTCTGAACTACAAATTTTATATGCCCTACAAACACCCTGGCCCAGGGGAGTTTTTCCTGTCCCCTGTGGCGTTCAACGCCAGCAAGTGTTCCTTGGCTCCCCCAGGTGTTTGGCTCAGAGCTGGGTGGGACCGCACAAGCCAGAGCAGCAGTCTGGTGTAGAAAGCTGTTTCGGATTTCTCCCCGGGGCTGCATGCCACACGCATGCGCCGTAGCCACTGCTGGCAGCCCTGCCCAGTGCCCTGCGGAGCACTCACCTCCAAGCTGCTCCTGTGTGAGGCACTTGCAAACTCCTTCTGCGCCCATGGATCTCTCTCTCCTGTTCCAGGAAAAACATTTGGACGTGGTGTTTGCTTCCTGTCACGAAATACAGAGCTAAGAAGATGGAGGTGGAGTCTGTGGGCACCCAGGCGACCTCATAGCAGTTCATTCAGGCACCCAGCCCTGAGGACACGGATTGCATACCTGCTGCCATCAGGGGAGCTGGCCACAGGGCACTGCCAGTGACGCTGCCATAGATCTGAAGACGATTGACATCAATTTTCCCAACATGTCTCCCCATTACCATCTCTAAGCTTTGAATGCAGGGCTGCTTATTTTGAGAACCCCCATCTTATCTGACTTTGCTGAACGGACTCTTCCTTTTGGAGTCCCCCATTTCTGCCCCAGCACCTCATTGTCCAGTAGAAGCGGTGGGTTCATGTTGTTCAGGCCTGGAGTGGGACAGAACTCAGATAGGCTCGACTCATCAACCAGAAACTGAGTCAGAAGCAAATTCAATTCTTTGCTCACATTTCCCCAGAGGTTTTAGACACCCCAACCCTGTGGCTCTGTGGCACTGCTGTCTCCTCGCCTCATCCCTCCAACTCCCAAAATGGTGCCCCACCTCCCCCAGGCCTGCCTCCTCATCCTCCGTAGCCCTCTCTCCACCTTTTATCTCGTATGTTGACTTCACTGCTATCTCTCACCCCTTGGGGTTCAGCTTCCCCTCTCTGATCGTGCCAGAGAGGTGGCCGTGGAGCCTGTAGACATCCTCCAGCGGACACCTCCAAGGGAGAGGTGACAGTCATGTGGCTCAGGTGCAGGCTGGGCTCAGTGTCCCCAGGCAAGAGGGGTGTGCTTCTTCCTCAGGTACACCCCTTTCCTTCAGAGCGCTCCCATCCGTCTGGGCTCTCTGCTCAGCATGGCGCCCTCTTCTACCTCGCCCGTGTTCCTGCTCTGGAAATGCCCTTACCTGCATCCTTGGAGCCGCTTGGTCCCTGTGGGTCCTCAGAAACGCTCTTCCCAGGAGGCGCCAGAAGCACCTGAGGCAGCCCCTGTAGAGAGTGGGACGGCCTAGAGGACGGGTGCTCAGACAGAGTGTGTCCCCGGGAAGCCAGTGGCCTGTCCAACATGGAGAGCGTGAGCCTTTTATTCAGATGGCAGCGAAACTTCCACCAAGGAGGGAGGCGAGAGGTAGGCAACGTTTGCCTTTCAAGTTCACCCCCTGGTACTGGAGGCTTTGTGTGGTTGTTTTTGATTTTTTTTCCTTGTGTTTTTAAAGTCTTCATTCCCATCAAGCATGTCCCAAGAGAATCCTTGGTCCCCTTTCTCTGTCCTTTGAGTACACATTTCAGCCACTGCTGCTCCCTAGTCAGCTTTGTCTTTTAACTGCTTGAAACAGTGAAGACAGATCTATACCCTGGCGTCACCTAAGTGGCTGAGGGTGGTGAGCACACACAGAAGTCTGCATCACAGAGACCCTCGCCCAGTTAGGACTCAGGGCGCCCTCCATGCCTCGGTTCTTTACCAGTGAGCCGGGAATTATGGTGCCCTTTCAGACAGGCTCCCGGGTGTTTATGGAAACTCCAAACAATGGTAACCCAACCTGTTTTAACGATCCTTTGGTGTGAGGTTCTGTTCTAGTTAGTTTAACCTCCACAGCCCCTGGTGAGGTAAGTACTACGCTGTGCCCCATTTACAGATATGAACAGTAGTGTCCCTGAGGACAGAGCGGCTCTCCAGAGTCACATGACATGACAGGCAGAGGTGGCCCAGACCGATGGCCGTCTTTGGCCGGCTCTCTTGTCCATACTCAGCTGGCCAAGGCTGAGAAGCTGCCCTCAACCGCCGGCGACTGACTGTTACCACGAAGGAAGGAGAGCTGAGGGTGTCAGACACACCAGTGTTTGAAGAGAAGCCAGAAATCTGGATATTTATGCGAAATTTC